TATTCTTCTGCCTAGAAATCCCTCACTTCTTAGCATCTGCTTTGGGTGAGTTCCAGGAGGGTCATCTCCATTAGGGCCGCTGGTCCATCTCCCTATGCCATACATAAGGCCCATCGTGTTTCTTCCCCATCTCTCCACCAATTAATCTTTAGATAAGCTTTGTCCAAAGAGCCCAGAGCCTTTTCAGACAGCAGCTTGTGTGTGACACCCGCAAATGGGCACAGGTCGGGATGGGGTGTGTGTGCACACGTCCACGTGAGGAAATGAGGGTGTATGTGTTTGAGTGTTGGGTGGGGAGCAAATCCAACGTTTTCCCAGGGTCACAGAGCAAATCGGCATGCGGCGGGTTCTGCAGAGCACTCCACGATGCCCTAGTTCTCAGAATACAAATGGGAGGCCAACAGAGCAAACTGCATCCCGCCCCCCCTGCCCCGCCTGCTCCCAGGGCCACCCTCGTTCCCCTGCCGGCTCGGGGCCCCGCTCACCACATCCCTCAAGTACATCTCTGTTTGTTTTGGACTCACTCTACACAAAAACTTCAACACTGCGGGGGCACGGAGATAGGGAACCAAGCCTGTTTGAAGACGATCTCTTTCTAACGGCTGTCATCTTTAATTCATAACCGTCCCATGAACCAGGCAAACAGTGGATGAGGGCCGAGGGCCACCCCCTCCCCCCCTGCTTCCTAGGGTTTTTAAACGCAAGCGGCTGTACAGGAAGTCGGTTTTCACAAAAGCAAAAGAGAAAAACATGCTAATGTACAAGCAATGGCTTCAAGCCCCCCATTTCAAGTCCTGTTTTTGTTGCCAAGTGGTTGGCCCGTGACCACAGCAGCCTGTGTCTGAGCCGAGGGGCAGGGGCCTCGCTGCATTATTCAAGAGTGACCACAAAACCATCTTTTGCACAGAGTTACCACAGACATAGACAGTTTCAGATATGAGAGGCTGGACGCTGAAAGAAAAGGAAGTTCTAACACAGGCCTCGGAGCCACAAGAGGAGGCCCGAGGAGGGAAGAGAGTCACCGGGCATCTCTGATGGGCCCCAACCCGTGCTAGGGGCTTTACAGGACCTTAGAGGGGAGGCAGGGAAACCCAGGCTCCCGGGAGTGACTTAACCATCTCAAGGGCATGAAACTAATGATGGCAGAAGCAGGGGTCCTGCTGGGGCAGACAGGACCCGTCCAGAGAGAGGGGCTGCAACCCCCGGAGTGGAGCCACGCCCACACCCCCACTTCCCGGACGGGGGGCCGGACTAGTCACTCCGCAGGCTTTACCCCGGTAAAGAGTTCAGTGCCACACGGGCCGTGTGGTTAAGAACTGTTCTATTCCATGGCCACCGTCCAAAGTCAGGGCGAAGCAGGTCTCCAAAAATGGGCCACTGATGGCCACACGGAGAAGGAGAGGCCGGCCAGAACCACTCGTGGCTGCCACACACCAGCAGCATCACCTTGACTCTCCAAAGCTCCTGGGAGTCTCAGGGGCGGGCAAAGACATCCTACTCATCGCCGGGCTGGAGGCTCCCTAGGTTCAGTAACATTCTCAGGGGACGTGCTCAACACAGAACTGGTAGGGGGAGATGGTCCTTTCCACTCAGCCCTCGGGGGGCTGCGCATTTCACTGAGGGTTATGTCTAGGCAGCCAACTGGGTAACAGAACCCAGTCCTTTAGGCCTGGCCAGGACTTAAGCCACCAGCAGTGTTTGAGGAGGAAGATAAAGGCAGGAACCCTGGGGTCAGACAGTTTGAATCCTGGCTCTGCCAGTTCCCGGCTGTGTAACATCGAACAAGTCACTTAACCTCTCTGGCCTGCATTTCCTCGTGCCTAAAGCGGGAAGAACAGCAGTACCTCCCACAAAGATGGTGGTGAGAATCAAGTGAGTCCTGAGCAGTGCGTGGCACAGGGTGTGTGCTCTGCACAAGGAAATGCTTGTGTCCGCTCTTCTGGTGCTGGAATTAAGTTTCCTGCTTTGCCCCTCTACGACACCGTGTGAGCAAATGACATCAACTACCCTGTGAGACCACTGACTACTCAACACACAGCAGGTTTCAGAGACATGGCTCAACCCCAAAGTATCAGGTTACAAATGGAGCCTTGGTGCCCATCACCTAGACAGCCAGAAAAGGGACAGCAAGCCTCACAGATGGTCACAAGGTGCCCTGAAAATTAGGAAGGTGACATCCCTGTGATGATGTGCAGGGGTGAGCAGCCCCTCGCCCAGGTCTGGCCAGGCGGTTCTGGTCTGCGTTTGCCACATGGAAGCCCCTCCTGGCTGAGCTTAGACCCTGCATCCAGATGCCCACTCCCCACCGTTCACCTGTATCCCCTGGAAGCAGGATGAGAGCCTGTCTCCAGGTCACCTGTAACACAGGGATGATGACAGGACCACCTGCAGGGTGGCTGGGCAGGGGAAAGAGGTAAGATGGCACCAGACAGTGCCTGGCTAGCACGCGGCAGGTAGTGAATAAATGGGAGCTAGTCTCACCGCAAAAATGAAAGAAATCAGGCCTTCTCTCTGCAGATTAGAACCCTCTTAGAGACCAGCCTTTTCAGTCCACATTTAATGATCCTAATCTGTACAGAACAAAAGTGAGCAAATGGATTGGGAAGACTGCCACAACAACCTGCGTGCCCCTCCTCAGAAGTCCGGGGTCTCCGGCCTAGAGGGGGGCACACACAAGCAGGAGGCGGAGGTCTGGCTTCCAGTCTTAGTTTTGGTGCTGGCAGGCAAGTCCTGGGCAAGCCGCTTCCCCTCTGCGAAGATGCACACGGGTCCCCAAGGGCCCTTCCAGCTGGCCCTGTGCAACCTGCTCCCCCTCTGGAGGAGAGGGCCCCTACCCTCCTGGTGAAGAGGAAGGATGGCCGCATGGTCCCTGGCCCAGAGCCAAGGTGAGGATGGCTGGAACCTCCCAGCCACATCTGTCCAGGACCCCAGCCGGACAAACCTCCACGGAGCACCCAGTTGCCAAACTGGTTTTTAAGGTACTAAAGGTGAAACCTGGTGAATATGTCATCTAACTGGAGCCTGCTGAATAAGGGTGTGGTCAGAGGTGCCCATCGTGAGGTCAGATGGACGAGAGCACATGGGAGAGCTAGTCTCCAGGAAAGACAAAAAAGGAGCATCACTCATGGTCACAGTGAGCACAGCTTGGAGGGGTCAAGGTTTCGTTTTCCTAATTCCCTGATCCCTTGATGCTCTTCTTCCACCAGGCTTCACTTCAGGGACCAGAGCCGGCGGACGGAAGTGACAGATTGTACCTGTCCCTTCCCCCTTTCTGAAAAGCCCAAAGTGCCCCTGCCGGGCAGGGCTGCAAAGAGTTTTAAAGACAAGCGCTGCCGGGAGGTGAGGAGGAAAATGGGCCAGGCTAGACAGCTGTGCCAATTTCACTGTCATTCCCAAATCACACATCTGCCTTCCTAGGGCTCTGCATCTTCAACTTCCCACCTTAAATCTCAGAAAGCAGCAAAGCACCAAAGCAATTTTCTCTGCTGGCCTCAGAGCAGAGGTACAAGCAAGCGAGAATGAGATTAGGGACCCACTCTCTGTGAAGATCCAGCAACGGCTACGGGGCCTCTGCTCTTGGAAAAAGGGCGAAGCGTCTCACTGCCCAGAAATGTGAGGCCCCAGGCTGGTGCCTCAGCTGCAGAAATGTCACAAGGACGGGATGAAGGGAACTACTTTCAGAAGGTGCTATGAAGTCTACAATGGGCAGATCAACCCACTGTTTCATAAACAGCAACTAGTTCTTTGATGGTGCCTTCCCCAAACACCACCACTGTATCTGGGGACGTATTTAGCTAGGGATCTCATTTGTGCATTCCAGCACAAGATTATCTGCCAAGGAGGTGGAGGCTTCTCCACAATACCCCCACCTTACATGTGCACCCACACGCACACAACACTCACACTCTCACACGTTTACATGCTCAAAACCACACAATGGATACTAGCGTCTGGCAGGCAATTTCAAGCACTCCTGATTCAGAAGAATGTCAGGTTGTAGATGGAGGCAAAGGACACTCAAGCCTAAATACCTGGCCCTTGATTAACCCCCAGAATTTTGCTCCTTCTGGACACTTATCTGCGTCTTCCAACCATCCACCTTCTCAATCTTAACCCAGACTATTAACGACCGAGGAAACATCCTGAAGCCCAAGGAGAACTAAGAGCAGAGAACCACCACCACTATCCTCCAGGCCATCCAACCCCTATGCTGGCCTATCCAACCTCACTCTCCCCCCAGTCAAGTCTCAGGAAAGGACAGAGAAAAGGTGAAAAGTTTTGGGAAAGTGGAAAGCCTGCAAAGACAAAATAATACTCTATTATTTCCTCTGGGTATATATGAACGTACATAAATGTACAGAAGGGGCGCCATATGAATACTCACCGAAATGAGAAGAGCAAGTCTGGGGGTGGGGGGGGGGGGTGCGCGGAGGACAGGGAGGAGGGGTGAATTGTCCAAAGGGACTTCGCCTTTTCTATAGGTTTTCATTTTTTCCAAGGAGATGCTCCTCCTGAATTACTTTATGTGATTTAACAAAGCTTTTTTTCTTTTTTTTTAAACCCAGGAATGCCATTTCCAGTTGCTGCTCTAGCCACAGAAGGAAATAAATCTTTTTCCTTCCTCTCATTTCTTGTTTTGAAGGCAAAGAAAACCATGTTCCCCTCCTATGCTGAATTTGCTGAAGGTCAAATTCTAGTGCCTATAAACTTTGATAATGTCTCCATAATTTACTATTTTTTACAGGCTCTATAGCTTTTAATAGCAAAAGCGAGTCATTTTTCACTGTTCATTTGCGGCACGGGAAGAGAAAAAAGTCTGTCATGTCTGATGTGTCTGTGCTAAAACACTTCATTTTCCTTTCTAGTTAGTAAGTGAACTAAAAATTACTTCTTGCAAATAGATGCATAGGTCTATAATGGACACACAATGTATGTGTCTATGCGCAAGGCTGCGAAAGAGCGAGGCAAGAATCGCTACACCGAGAGAGCGCTCAGCAAAATCCATTAACAGAGGTTTGCTTTATTAAATGTATCTATGTTTGAGAAACTGCTGGTCTACAAGGTCAAAGATTTCTTGGGTCATCAACCAATTAGAAAAAAAAATCTTAGCAAACCCAGTCCCTCATATATATGTGAAGACAATGCCAAGATGGGGAAGATCAGTTACTCTGGGTCTATAAAGCAGGACGTGGATGGAGAAGGGGTGGATTGGAGACCAGGAGGAAGCATGGCAGCCCCATCCCTCTGAGTAGGTCCAGTGAGGGCATTTCGGTGCTCACACCGGCCATTATGTGTGCATTCTGGTCACTCAAGACCTGTGATGGGGGATGCACAGGGTGGGCCGGTAGGTATAGGCCTGGGGGGTAGAGATGTGGGTTTCGCCCCTAGCTCGGCCTTCAGTCAACAACCCAACAATGAAGTCCTCGATGATGACCAAGACTAGTTAACATTTACTAAGCACTGACTACCTAGGTGTCAGGGATCACGCAAAGCACTCTGCATGCATGAATCTTGGGTGACCTTCACTCCAGTTTCCCCCCACCTACTTCTATCTGTTATCCCCATTTTGCAGATTAGGAAGCTGAGTCTCAGGGGACTTAGGCAGAGGCCAACCCAAGGTCTGCGCTAGTAAATGGCTAATGACACCATCACAGTACCACCTTGACCTCTCAAGGCTTCCTCTTCTGCTCCTCACCTGCTTTGGAGGCTCCCAGAGACAACCCAAACTAGAGCCCTTACAGAAATGACCAAATGTTACCCAGGAGGGAGGGAACTCCCTTCCTCGACCCAGGAACCCTTGGAGGTGAGGTCCAGGGACACGCATACCTCTGTCCCAAGACCTCAAAGCCAAACAGGTCCCAGATAGCTTTCCTGGACCTCAAAGATCTGTCCCTCACAGCTCCCCATACCCTGTTCCCACCCCGGCTTCTGGAAACCAGGAGTCTACATGGAATTTGTCATTAAAGGTTTCGCCAGCCGAGATCCACGCCCTCCGCTGTTGTTCACTCTAACAGGGGTGAGGGGTGTGGGAGGAGAAACCTGCTCCATAAACCCACGGGGAGGCTCCCTGCCAAAATCCTCCACACACCATCTTCCTGTTCATTTTGCCCCATGGATGATTTTTAAAGCTTTTTAATTGTCCTTAATAAATTACCTACATGTGCATGGTTGTTACAATAGTTTCATTAATTTTTCTCGGTGCATCTAAGCTGTTTATCACAGAAGTGTTAATAGAAAAGAAAAACATGTCAGGCAGGCTCCTGCTCACACACTCTGGGCTTGGGCAAATTAATGCTTATGGGATTGCTTTCCTGCACCACAGACAATTAGGGGCGTATTTATTTCATCCGAGCAAACCATCTTTCAGCAAGGCCAGAAAGAGTGTGCCCACCAGGGAGCCCGGCAACGGCTGGCTGTGGATGGGGCCCACAGAGGCCTGCCTCGTATTTGGTGCCGGGTAACTTCATCTCTGCTCTCCTTCAGCTGAAATCTCAACCGACAGTCTTAGGTGTGCACAACTTGCCCCGCACCGACGGTGAGAGACATGTCAGGGGTATTTCAGATGATGTGCTTCTTGGTGTTTGAGGCTTTCAACCAGAAGTAAATTACACCGATGGCCAAAAGTGACACTGGGAGAGCCAGGCAGGTGGCTCCACAGCAACAAGGAGCAGAGAATGCAGGCGATCGACAGGGGACTGCTTGTCTGGTTTCCCAGGATCTGGAGGAAAAGGTTAAAGGGGCTGTGGGGAGCGTGGCTATAAACCTTGAGCCTACCGGTCGTTCCACACACTTACCGTCTGACCAAGAGCTGGACATGACAGCAGGGTCGGCTGGGTCTTACTCAAGTGACAGCAGGAGCTCTGGGCTGAGACAAAACATACACAGGGCCCTCCGCAACTAGGCCATCTGTCCAGGGGACCCCCCCTCCTGAGCAGGGGATTTTAAAAATTTAAACCGTCACAAGCTAGCTTCAGAGGTGTTAAGGGTGATGGTCTATCTTCTCAGAGCAAATGAATTTTTTGGACTTTTGATTTATGAATCAACCTGGCATCAAAATATATGTGAGTGCAGCTATCCAGGTAGAGGGCAAAGCTTCAAGGACTGCCCCAAGCTGACCGCAGCTCCTCTTCCCAAAAGGCTCATTTCTTGCCACACCAAATTATTTCATGTTCCCCTGATGCGCTTTTGCCCCAGTGGCTTCTCCTTGCCAGAAAAGTTCTCTTCATCTGTCCTATCAAACTCCTATTCATCCTTCAGAGCCCATGCTTCCCTCCCCTCCCCAGATGGAACCGTTTCAGCACCAATGATGCTTCCATTGTACATGGATGCATTTCTTTTCCAGCCTAGGGGTCACTAGAAGAATATTCCCTGAGTTGAATGGATGGTCAACCTCTTCTCTAATTCGTGCTCTTCATGGCATTGATGCTCCACTAACTGACTGGATCCTGAAGGAGGAGCCCCCACCGAGAGCACCTCTGCTGAGGCCTAAAAGGCTCACCTCTGGAGAAAAGCCCTCTTCTGTGTACTTGGCACCTCTGAGGCTGAGACCATGGGGCAGAGAGTCGCAAAGGGGGCCCTCTGGGCAGGTACAGAACACATACTGCAAATCCCTTTGCTTCTCCCTTGCCAGCGCACTGAGAACGTTTCCGAACCACCCCCACACCCCCCGACAGTGCCCCACCCCCCTGTCCAACTCATCTCTCATCACTGGCTCCCTTGCTTACCCGCCTTCCAGCCCCAGCACCCTTCCCTCGGTTCCCTGAACTCGCAAAGCTCACCTCACCTTGGACACTACACGGGCCATTCCATCTGCCTGGAGAGCCCTGTCCTTGGACAGTCCCACGGCCTCAGAGAAGTCTCTCTGCCCACTCTGCCTAAAGGAGCACCCTTACACCCTTACCCCGCTCCCTAGTCCCTCCCCAGCCAAATGCACTGTTCCACTTCCTCTTTGTCATGATCAGTATCTATAAGTAGTGTGCTCACTTATTCATTCTCGAATCTGCAGTCTGAGTCCCCAGTAGCTTATAAGTTCCCGAGGGCAAAGAGCCTGCTGTCTCACTCACGTCCATGTCCCCAATGCCCAGGACAGCGCCTGGCACTTGGTAGGCACTCCCAACCATCTGTCTCATGAATGAGTGAAACTCATCTTGTTGTTGAACAAAGTTTGCTCTCCAAAGCCCCTTATAGAAAAACTTTGTATTCTGGAAAATGGCCTGGTTCAACAGCCAGTCCAGGAAGCACAGAGGAACTAGAAATACTCTGGAATTCGGGGACACACCTCGGGGAGCACTGGTAAACACACAGCATGAATTCACAAAACTAGTCGCATGTTAATATATGCTGCCTCCTCCTTAAACAGCTTATGAACACTATAATTTTCTTCACTAAAACACTGTCTAACAGAACCAACTCCCCTAATTACAGACGTTTGTATGCATTATAATCTTTATACAATTAAACTTACTTAAAAGAATAAATGATTAAATGCCCCCCTTGCCCTGTCACTAACCCATCCCTCCTCTAACCACCACCACCAAAAAACAAAACACAAACCACACAACGACTAAACACAGAGGTGCTGAGAACAAGTTGCAGACAGACAGAAATCCCAGGAAATTGAAATTCGGGCTGACACAGAACTTTTGTTAGCTACAGGGGGGAAAGTCAACTTTCAACTTCAAACCCAGTATCCGACAGCTCAGCATCTGACAGCAATGTCAAATTAAAGGCTTGTGTGTATTGTACAAAATGTCTTATTTCAGGAGCAAACATCTTCCCTTGCACAACTCACCTCCAGACACAAACACATGGTTTGATGACTGGCAGAGGCTTTTCTGGGATCATCTCTTAAAAATTTCACAAACGCATTCCTGGCCCGAGGGTGTTTACCAGGAAGTCAGTGGTGACTCCTCTGGAGTCAGGCAGGTTTAACTGATAAATCTCTCTTTGGGACACGGCTGTACACCCTGGGGAAAACATCCAGCACAGAATCTCTATGAAAAAGGCCCAGATGCTAGCTACCCGTCCAATGTGAACACCCTACTTTTGTAAAATTCAGCATCATGGGGAGAAAAAGAGGCATCCTGAGAGTCAAAACAGATCCTCCTGTTTCAAGTACTGAAAGGGCCCTGAGCACAAAGCTGTGTTATCTGAACCCCTGAAAAGCTAGTGCTTGAAAAGATCAGGCAGGGAGGTTTAATTACAGCCACGGCGCAGACCTGGCCCTGCAGGGCCCTCTCAGCTGCTCCAGAAATGCCCTGAAAAGCTCTCTTTTCTGCCTGGGCCACGTTCAACACCAGGCTAGCCAGATGTGCGATCCAGAGGTCTTGGGACAATCAGAGTCATTTTCCTGTCCCTCCAGGGGACAACACTGCCAGCACAGGAGCTGGACAGCAGGACAGCCAGGTGGAAAGATCTGGGTCATCCCGTAGATCTGCAGCGACTGTCACTGGGCAAGGCACACTGGTCCTCTCTGAGCCTCTGTGTTCTTACCCGTAAACTGGAGGTGTTAGCAAAATCTGCCTCCTAGGGCTGCTGATGGTGTCCTGGAGAAGCCCCATGAGTAGTAGCTCTGGTTATCAGGCAGGGGATGCCTACCCATTTGTCAGGAATTTTGTATGGTCACTCGTGCCCCTCTGGTCCCTTCCACTACTTGAATGTGAAGAGGCTTGGGGTGTGCACAAAGGGGCAGGAATCAGCAAGCACTTAGTTCTCCTGTTCTTCCCCTGCCACCCCCCGAACCCCCACCCTGTCTCCTCCCCTGGCTCTGCGCCTTGCCCATCCTCCCCCCAAGACTAAGTGGGTGGTAGCTGCCTTTCTGGAGCATCCACCAGGGCGCCACTGGATTTACGGGCAGACATGCCTCAGCCCCGTTTTTCAACGAGGTAGAGAGGAAAGTGGCAGTGCTTGCTTGGTATGCTACGCTGGGCTCTCATTCTGCCCTCTCAACAAGCCTCTCAGGTACGATCATTATCCTGTCTGGCCTCCGAGGATGCTGAAGCTCAGAGAGATGAAGTGATTTGCACAAGGACACACAGCTATTGAGCAACAGTGTCCAGGCCGGGACACAGAGCGAGACAAACCCCAGGACAGGGCTGCCTCACAAAGGTGGAGCAGCCTAATGCAGAGGGCAGAAGGGAGACGTGGTCTGAAGTGTCAGCTTGGCCCCCAGCTTGCCCTCTGACCTCAGACACCCTCCCAGCACCATGCTCTCTCCTCCACACAAGGGAGGTTGGCCCTTCCAACGTTGTTCAGTGGCTCCATGAGTCACCGAGTTGCAGGCCTTCCTCATGCGAGCAGCCTCTCTCTGCAGCTCAGCCCGCGGGCGCCGATCTCAGGCCCTCCTCGCATGCTTGGGGTAGGGTGGGCGGTGAGGACAGGCGGTCTCTGCCGGGGCCAAGCGTGCCCAAGGCAGTTTACAGGAATCTCATTAGTCAGCACCAACAGCTGCCCCAGGACACGTGGCACCGATGGGACCCACCCAAGACTGCTCAACCTTGGGGGTGGCTGGAGAGCAGGAAAAAGGATTCCAGAACCTCCCCGGGGCTCCGTGTGGTGTGGGCTCTCCCCTCATCCACAGCAACCTTCCCCCCCAAACATGCACTTCTCTCAGCCCCAGCTATGGGCTTGGTTGGATTTTTCTAGTCAGAAATGTCCCCTGGCGTCGTCAGCCAGGAGGACAGAGAGGGCACTGGAGGTAGGCAAAGCGTCTCCGAGGGTTTTGAAACCCCAGCCACCAGGCTGTTTCCCAGGGCTGGCAAGGAGCCAGTCAAGCGGGAGGAGGTGACTCCTACCACTCTGTGGCTGATCTGAAGACTATGAGTCTCCTCCATCACCGCCTTTCCTCACCCCCTCAAATCTTGACCAGGGCAATTTTTGTAGGCCTTCTGCTGTTCTCCTGTCCCCAGGAAGAGTCCGAGCATCAAATTTCCAGCACTGTCTGCCAGAGATATGCCAGGCCCACTGGTTGCCGGCAGGAGATGCCATGCTATACACCTGCCAGGAAGAAAGGAAGGGGAAGATGGTGCTGGGCCAGCGCCACCTTCCCCGGGCCCACCTCATCCTGGGCTCTGAGCCTTCCAAAGTCTTTTCAACATCCTCTCTCAATTTTCAGCCATGCTCATCTTGGGCAACCTGGCCTGGGGGTTGTTTCCCACAAGAAGGAGCACACTGAGAGGCCAGGGGAGAACAAAACATTGGATTCTTCTGGGGAGAAGGGGGGCCACGACATGGACAGGCTGTATAAAAACCCTACAGAAGTCAACAATCCTCATGTTGCTTAAGCATAATAAACACTCAAGCAAAAACCTCTCCAAGTCCTGAATCTTATAGCAACTCCCCTTCAGGGAAGTGAAGTTATTCATACTTGAAAACCAAGAAGGTAAATGTCTCCAGAAGGCTCATCACAATTGGCGGTGCAGATGTACAAGACCACGAATGTGACACAGATCCCAGTTTAAAAGTGGAGACTTCCAGGGGCGCCTGGGTGGCTCACTTGGTTGAGCAGCTGACTCTCACTTTTGGCGCAGGTCATGATCTCAGGGTCCTGGGATCGAGCCCCGTGTCGGGCCCCATGCTCAGTGGGCAGTCTGCTTGAGATTCTCTCTCCCTCTCCTTCTGCTCCTCCCCCTGCTCATGCTCTCTCTCTAAAATAAATAAAATCTTTTTTAAAAAATAAAAAAAGTGGAGGCTTCCAGGGGGCACACAGGGTGGAGGGAAGAGATGCCTCACTTAGATCCTCTGCCCTGGTGCCCTTCCCCTAAAGCTGATGAGCAGTCATGAAATAATAAAAAAGGAGACCCTGCAGGCATCCCCTTTCCCGAGGCAATGATAGAAACAATGGTTACTGCTGCCTGTAGACCTACTGTGTGCCAGGCAACGTGCTGAGGCCTTCTCACACCCCAAGTGACCAATAATGTCCCTGACAGAAGTGAAATTACATGAGTAAGTTTAAATAACAACCAATAACAAAGAAAATAATAGCATCAGGCTGCGATAAGGAGAAAGAGCAATCCTGAGCAGACGTGCCCTCTGTGCCCCCCGCAGGGCCTGTCTTACAGAATCCTCCTCTACTGAAGAGGAGACAGGCTCTGAGAAGTTCACGGACATACAAAACTGAACCGTGCAGCTGAGATTCGAACCTAGTTCCACCCGAGGGCAGAGGTCTGTCTACAAGCTGGTGATATCTTTATGCTTCTCTAAAAAAACCCCTCTTCTCTACAGTAACCACCAACCAGTCCAGTGCAGGCTGCAGGGGGAGTGACAACTGTTGAGGGTTTCTGCAGTTGGGGGGGGTGGGGAACACTTCCAACAGGGTTTGGACTCTAGAAGAGGCTGGAAAGGCCAGACTTTACCAATACTCAAGAGCCACAGGGCCAAAACTTCATGCCGAGCGTCTTAAGAAGTGAAAGTGTCAGCCTTGGGGGTGGGCAGCTTGGAGGGGGTGGGCAACTCTCTTCTAACGCAGCCCCACTGGGTGAGAAGCCCGTGCATGGGCACCCATCCTCTGAGTGGCAAGAGCCCCCCCCAACCCCCGGGCCGTGGGACCCCCTCCCTCTCTCTCTCCTCGGTCAGCTGTCTTGTGCACATAAATCACCAGGACCAGGCAAGGGTGTGGCTGGTTCTGCAAACCCGTCCCTGTCCCTGGCTACAAAATACAAAGACTCCATCCTCCCATTCGTGAACTAGCCGCGTCACCAGCTTCCGCACAGGGCCGCATGAAGGTGAGGAGCCCGCGCGGGCGGTCTTCAGGGCTCTGATCCCTGCAGCCCCAGCGGAACAGCACGGGGCAGTGTTGTCAGAAGCAAGCTGGCCAGAGCCACAGCCCCCACCTCGGGGGCGGGGGGGACTGACCGGAGCCTGATGGCA